GTTACACACCTACATATGACAGTAAAATAATGAGAAGCTATATTCCAAACAAGAAAAAAGTTGAGAAGTCATACTTAAAATAAATTGTAACCACCAAAAGTTGGTTGAACGACGAGGAAAGCTTCTTCACTTTCGACACGGGCGCGGACTCCGCGATCTCTGGGTCGCCGAGGTAACCAAAGCACACCAGTCAACACTGTACTATAGCGCTTACACCTGTATGTTGGCAAAATAATATCGTATATTAATTAAACACCTGAGTTGGCGAAATAAAAAAAAAAAAGCTAACGCTAACTAAGTGTTTAGTTACCATGCCCAAAAGTCCCATGCCTTTCTTGGTTGGATAAACAAACCCAACCGGCGATTTCCTACAAGTCTCTCTTTTTTTTGGGGGGAGCAGAGCAGTCAAAGAATAAACCAAACAAAATGATTGGTCTTGTGGTACACTCACTCTTAGTTAAAATTTCCAGTTTGATGTTCGTGTTCGCAGATATGATGCAAGGAATAATAGACTTACATCACGATTTCCTCATTCTGATTTTGGTTTTCGTATCATGGATCTTGGTTCGCACTTTATGTCATTTCTACTATAAAAAATTGAGAAATTCATGGGTACGCAGTCAAGTTGTGTATTCTATATCTCATAGAATTCTTCCTCTGTCCTTCAGACAAAGACAATGCAGGGTTGATAGACCATTTTAGGTTTTATTTGGTGGACTCGGGACAATATGCGAACTACGCATGGGGTATTGATTCTTACAAATAGTTGCTTCAGTCCGTTAGGCACAAGCTCAATTCTTCTGTTCATTCCTATCTCATTCGAGGATTTGCACTAGCTATGCAAATATGGTTGTATGAGTATTGCTCTATCGTCAACACTGATATAGCTACAAGGATTGCTAATTCTATCCCTCGCATACTTAGCTGGTCAGCTAGTAAGGACAAGATATGGTTATCTACAATTGAAGATTGAATGATCAAACCAGCATGGATCAAGGTAAACGGTTTTTACTTATGAGCAGACAATTTAATATAAATTATCTACGACTTTTATACATATTATGTCTAAGTCAAACTAATTTTCTTTTTTTACTCAGTTCACCAACATATTTGAAGCACCAGAAGAGCTTTCTAGAATGTCTTTGCCTGATAAAGTTGAATACATACTTGAAGAAATTGAAACCAAGTTCGAGGCTCCGAAAGATGCTGCATCTCCATCGGGACACAAGAAGTCAATTGGAATAGAGGACAAGAAAGATATTCTGAAACAAATTAAAAAATTAAGAAAATATGTTGACAAGGTAACGTATATACATAATCCTGGATGGTTTCTTTAATTTATGTTAAGCCAATGTTTTCGTTAACTCTCTATATTTTAATATGTAGGTTGCTTTAGATCTTGGATCTTTCAAGACAAATGTTTTTGAAGAACTAGGTAGCATTCGACTGCTACTCAATGACTCAATCAAGGCTGTTTTGCAGGCGATAAACAGTCAAAAGGATAATATTGATGCCAAGGTAATATTTGAAATATATTCATTTAACAGAACAATTTTTATCACTTCTAAGTTTATATTATCGTTCATAAAGTATATATCCTAACAAATTTAAAGCCTGCAGTTTGCTGGGAGTTCTACAAAAATTGCTGAGCAATCAAAAGAAAAGAACAATCAATATTTTCCGTGCAGTAGCGATAAACCAACGCATGCCAGCAGCAGTAAAAAAGGTATGTACAACATATCTACATTATATACAATATATCTCCATTATATCTACAATATGTCTAGACATATCTACATTATGCCTACAGTATATCTACACAGATTTACATATCTATGTAGATGTCTACAATATACATACATATTGCTTAAAATTGAATCAACTAATGTGCAATATAATTCAAATGGGTTTCTTAGATACAGGACATGTGAATGACATGGAAATTAATGAGAATGTTCCTGTACATATTGCTTTATATTCTCATTTTGAAGGGAAAATTGATGAAGAGAATGCAGGTATGAGTTAGTACATGTTATCATCACATTTTCCAATAAACTTAGCTGTTATCATATGCATGACATCATTTCAACAAGTTTACTACATTTAAACTACAATTTGTATTCAGAAATGTTAGTATTTAGTACAACTTTTCTACAAATTGATTAAGTTAAACATACTTATTGTAACAGTGAAGGAAGTTATGCCTGCAGAATCTCCAAGACATGAAGATACAATAAGCATTCAAGGAGAACAAAAGAATGAGGAGAAGGGGGAAAAAATTCAATCTCCCATTGAAGAAGAGAATGTTATACAAGAAGAAGATGATTGATGTGAAGAAGGAGGTGAACCAGCCGAGTACGTTAAAGTAGGTGATTCGGACGACTCCAGATATGATAAAAGGGAAGTTACACTTGATGATTTTGAGTTGCTAGAGAACTTCTCCCGGATTATTAAGTTCGGCGAGCTTAACCAAGATGAAACAACCCCTGTGCATCAAGGAAGAACAAGACAGCCTGGAAAGCATGCCCGATCACCCTTTCTCCCTTTTTACAGTTCTGGTGGCAGCACTTCTGTTGGACCTCCAATTTTTTCAATCAAGCATCCGTTTACTGGGATTTTAGGTCAAAATGTTGATCCTGAGTTCTTGGACGAATTCAACAACTGGTTATACCTTGGTACCGATACAACTTCAAATAGGTTAGTTTATACAATTTGTTCATATTTCTAAGTGCATTCATTTTTTGGATATCCACTTCAATCTACATATTTATTGTAATTGATATGTGTTTAAATAGGAGGAAGGCGCCTTATTCTATAAAAGATAACCAGCTTAAGTCGTGGTATGATCTTGAAATGGAGAAAGTTGATAAAAAGGAGTAGTTTTACACTTTAGCACATCCCGGACAAGTCCTCAACAACACGGTAAACACATACCCTGGCAGAATAAAATGATTAGCTCTAGTATTCTATTATTGGAGGATATTGTAGTTTTTTTGTTTAAAAATTGTAGTTAATTTGTTTGAAGCATTAAGAAATAACGAACTCTGTTTTTTTTTTTTTTTGCAGCACATTGATGTTATTTTATACTATTTGAGGAAGAGAGAAAAGTATGATCCTGTGAACAAAACACATTTTACAACCACTGACTGTATTTTCAAGACTAGAACTGAACAAATTTATGAAAAATACATTAATGCTCCTGACGATAAGAAGCTAGTTGTTGTCAAATCCCAAGACATCGTAGCAGAATACATATTGGGGTACAGGCTATTTGCAAATGTTGCATGGGATCAAGTTGATTTTGTGATTATGCCCATAAATATTGTGGAAAAATTTCATTGGTTGTTGGTTGTTTTTGACATTACCGAAAGGGTTCTATATGTTTATGATTCTATGATCTCTTCACACAATCACATCATTGTTGAATCTGTTGTCAACAAATTTGCAACAATGATCCCCTATACTTGTCATGCACCGGCTTCTATGGCAAGCGTCTGACATCAACTACAAGAACACAAAGGCATACATTGAAAAAGGTATTACTGACCCTCTTGACATTCAGTGGTTGGTCGGTGAGATACCCCAGCAAAAAGAGGGATCACTGTATGAAAAAGCTATTTTTCCTTCTATTTATTTAACAGATTTTATTCAATCGCTGAATGCTAAATCTTTTCCCCTAATTTCTGTTTGCAATGACTGTGGCGTATACGTTGCTACATTTGCTGAATATGTCAGCATTAGAGAGCTATCGATTTCAAAGGAAGACCTTTCTGATATTGATCAACATCGTAGACGCTATGGAGCTCTACTTTGGGATTATGCTAGGAAAAAGCGAGAGATTGGTGCAATTAGTGAGAGTGAGGTGACTGGCAGATTAGCAAGAAGAAAAGGTCCACCAGTTGCAAATGAGAGAACAGAAGTCCGAAAGAAGAAGAAGAATTAGTTTCCCTATTCTGTAGAAAAATTGTAGTTAAAATGTATAGGTGTTGTGGGTTTGTATTAAAGTTGTAGACAAATTGTTAACTTAGAACAAGTTAGTTAAAACATACTTGTAGTAGATTTGTGCTACAATTGTTTTCTTTAGTTTTGTTATTTTTGTCCAGAAAATTACTACTTTAAATCGAAAACACTATGGAGATCCTTTTTTGGTTCAAAATTGTTAGTACTTTATTCTACTACTTTTATTTTGTGTTGTTACCCTTTGTTTCGTTATTTATTTTTACCAGTTGTGAACGAGAGAACACAAGTCTGGAAGAAGAAGAAGAATTAGTTGCCATTTTCTGTAGGAAAAATATAGTTAAATTGTTTAGTTGCAGTTGATTTTATAGAAAGCTTGTAGACAAATTGTTACTTATGAACAAGTTTGTTGAAGTTTAATTGTAGCAGATTTGTGCTACAATTATTTTACCCTATGTTTTGTTATTTTATCCAGGATACTAGTGCTAACAATAGGAAACGTTCTGTTGTTTTTATCTTGATTGGTTGAAAGTTATTAGTACTTGATCTCATTATTGTTAGCATAAAACTCCTTTAAAACTTAATTATTATGTAGTTATTCTGTCAACGCCAGATTATGTAGTTATTTTGTAGATTTTTTGTAGATAGCTTGTAAGAATCATTATTCACTAATGATTTGCGCTATAGATAATTAAAAAATTGTGTATTATAGATACAAATCATTCATAATCCAATCAAGTTATGAAAGTCTGAACTCAATACACTCAGTAATTAAACAAAACAAATTCAAACCAACCACATTAAGAGTTAAAAATATTTCATTATAGGAAACAGTCTTTACTCAATTTATCAACACAATTACACCTCAACTATAATTCTCCTGAACACCTCAACACTTTTTATCAAAAATCTGTTGACTATATCAAATTTTATTTCTTCTTGGGAGCATTCTTGCAAGATCTTTTGTTATGCCCTTCTATTCCGCAGTTGCCACATGAAATCTTGTACTTCTTTGCATTTACTTCATCATGTGTTTTGTATCTTTATTTTTGAGGTCTTCCTGGGTGTCTTTTCCCGGTAGGTAGATTTACAACTTCTTCAGCTATATGTTGTGGCACATTCCATTTGCTTTCATCAGGCAGCGAGTCTACTGGTACTTCATAAGTATGCAAGAGGCTCTCCCTCGTGTAATAAGGAGAACAATATCTTTCATAAGACTCATTCTTGTGCTTTAAAGCAGTCAAAGCATGTGCACAAGGAAGTTCATCAAGCTGGAATTGTCCACAACTACATCTCTTATTTTCAAGACAAACAATATAGCGCCTCACACCATCTAGCACTCTATGGATGTAATCTGTTGAAGCCCTCACCTACAATTACATTACAAACACACAACAAATTATCAGCAACATATACAAAATAACTACAATTATTCAACAATGTATCTACAATATCTGTTAATATTTTAGTTTGATGCAATAATTGATCAGATGTTATTGGATATAGCTTACTTTAAGCTTCTGCGACAATGTTCTGTTGTCCTCCAACTCTTTGTTGTATTTAAACCCAAGGTATGTGAATGTACCCTTTGCTTTCAATAACTTTTCATTAGTCCAACGTTCAAGAAGAGTCCTCATGTACTCTAATAGTTCTACTATCGGCAGCTCTCTTGCATCTCTTGTTACCGCATTCAATGACTCTGCAATGTTTGATGTCATAGTCCAAGTTCTGTTCACCGTAGCATGTACTCGAGACCATCTGTGATAGTCAATTTCGTATAAATATGCTTTAACACGCGTGTCGATCTCTTCAATCTTTGACATTCTTTCATTAAATTCATCAAGCGTGTATGATCGTGTCGTGGCAAAGTATAATTCGCTTTACTTTAGATGACCTTTCTTGAACTTTGACCTTATATTTGTCCAAATATGCCTCATGCAAGAATAATGTGGCATTCCAGTATAAACAATAGATGTTGCCTTTAAGATACTCTCATTTCTATCAGAAACAACACACATATTTGGTTTTTCACCATATGCATGTTTGAATTGCTCAAAAAACCACTTCCATGATGCGTCATTTTCTGAATCAACAACAGCATATGCTAGTGGTAATGTGCTACCTATCATATGTGGCAAAAAGGAATTCAATTTCCATCATAAAATTGTAGATAAAGAAAAATACATACAAACAGCAAATTTTCTACAATATATCTACAATAAATCTACAATACCTGCTGTATCCATTGTGCTAGTTGTTAGCATTATTCCCATGTATGCTGACTTCAAGAAGGTTCCATCAACTACTACAACTGGCCTACAATATTTCCAACCATTTATTGACGTACTAATCGCAACAAATGCATACAAGAAACAGTCATCGTCGGTCTTCTTTAATTTAACTACCGACCCCGGATAAGTCTTCTCCAGAATATACAAATAACTAGGCAATCGACTGTAGGAGTCAGCAGGGTGACCTCTCAAAAATTCCAAATTGCTCTCCAAGCTTGCATGTATGTTAAGTTCACGCCGTGTTCAGACAACATGTTAGTTTGTATGTCTTTTGGTGTGTAAACTGTCTTAGGATCAGCATAATTTGGTATAACCCTGCTACTCACTACCATGGCAGTAGGTTTGCATTGTATGTATGTATTGTCCATCAAAGAGCATGTGTGCAAGCTGTTGAATTTTCGAACCTTAAACATTGCCGAATCATTTATGCTGGTGGACTTGAAGTGCCAAGTATAATCTTCCCCAACACATAGCAGACAGTAGCTACAGAATAAAAATAATTTAAAATATGAAAAATGTAGATACACAAAAATAGGTTGTTTAATCATGAAAATCTTGTATTTAATAATTTATATATAAAAAAACTATAAATTATCTACAATTTGTATGCAAATATATTACAAACACTAAAAAAAAAATAAACTACAAATTAAACAAAGACATGATTTTTGTCTATTGAATTGTTCTTACCTTCTAGCACTAGACCTTTTCACCCTAAACTGGAACTTGTTCATGACAAAATAGTGCTTCATTGCATTAGTAATTGTTTGTTTGTCTTTGTATACTTGGCCTACTTCAATAGCAGTTGGTGTATTTTCTGTTATAATTATACTTTCATATTCCACTATCGCCAAAGATGTTGGCATATCAATCAACTTCAGTGTACCAGATGAACCTGCAATCAATTAAAGCTAAATACAGTTATGATATATATTGTAGATATTTTGTAGAATAATTGTAGAACAATGAAATTCAAAACTCACATATTCGTAACAATTGATATACACATGTTATGTAGTTTTTATTTAGGGTAATATTGTAGAAAAATTGTAGAACAAATGAAATTCAATACTTATTTTGATCTATACATGTTATGTAGTTGTTTTGTAGAAATATTGTAGAAAAATTCTAGAACACATGAGATATAAACAAATTCACCATTGGTATAACAGATCAAACCTACAATTGCATTCGAAATAGAGATATTGCATTCCAAATCGAAATCCCGCACTGTTATACATAGCGGATACATTCCTAAGCTTTTGTTTTCCTTTTTCGTCTCCATGTATACTCGAACTCCCATGTCGTTCCTAATTTCCATTGGCGGACAATGTTCGTTGACAATGTATTTGGTTTCGATTATTTTTTCTGATGTATCGATCATTTGATGCTCTGCGATTGTAGAAATCAATTGGCTATAAGTTGCATCTTCGCTGATTACAATTCCGTCGATATGGAAATCTCCCAAAGCTATTCCAATTACCATTTAGCTGAAGCATAATAGCTATTTTCGACATTATTACGCGTGATTCAGCACAATTGTAGATAATTGATTCAATTTTGCTTGTGAAACCAGAATATACAGTGAAAAATAGAGTATTCGGAAAACAGAGTATCGAAATTGTGAGAGAAACGGAATAATTTCAGGCTTAATTAATGGCGACTAATGCGTTGCAAAAAATCTCGTAGAATCCTTTACTAACCCAAATTCTCGCTCCTAAAAAAGGAATGTTACAACAGAAAAGATTCCATTTTAAATGCTTTGTATAGATTTTGTAGGTTCAGGACGGGTAATATTGTAAACAAGGACATTTTTTGTAATAAAGTTTCATGTAGTGTATAGAAATAAAATTTTCCTTTTGAAAACCTCAAATTTTTTGGGGCCTAAAGCAAGAGTAGCCTGGACCTTGAGCCGGATCCAATAAAAAATAAACTCTTCTAGTGTCTTAGTGCGTATTGTATTTTCCAGGCCTATTTACGTACAAACCGTAAGAGGGTGGCTCATTTCTGTGTCTCGACATCGTTTTCAGGATCAAGAATCCTTTACTGTTTTCTTATTAGTATAGTGAGAAGCGCTACGCTGGTAAACTACTAATAAGGGTATGCTCTATAAAAGTACTATTGACAGGTGCAGTTAGTGGTGACAAAATGGATAAAAAAGCAATTATTCACCCATATTATTCATTAAAAATAGGTTAGATAATGAACTTTTTAAAGACGGGTCAAATATGAATAAAGACCATAATATCCACTTAGAAAATGGATAACCAATGGAATGAGTTTAACTTTTACATTTGTAAAGCCTCAATTGGCGGTTACTCAAATTTAGGAGACTAGGAATTCTCCATAAAATGATCATCATTAAGAAGCCATGGATAATATAGATATCCATATTATACGCCGGTTAACCCGTTTTTTATACGTATTAAACATAGGTCGGGTCGAATAATTTATCCTTTTTTGCATTACCCAAAATTTTGGCTAGCTTACGTCCCGATCCGACCCGTTCATTTGCCACCCCTAGATTCACTAGACCAAATTGACAAACAAACAACTACAAAGAGAACTAAGAAAACAAGAGATATGGACGTTTCATAAGAATATCCTTAGCAGCTGAATCATTCTTCTGTTTTAGCGATCCCTTATCATTTCGCAGGAGAGGAGAGACAAAAAGGGAGAGAAACAAAAGGTGATATAACGTTTCTAGGCGCACTTTCCAACAAGGGCGTTTGGTCTAGTGGTATGATTCTCGCTTTGGGTGCGAGAGGTCCCGAGTTCGATTCTCGGAACGCCCCAAAATCTTTTTTTCTCGACCTATATCTATTTCCTGTTTTATATATAATCTATTATGCGGGAAAACAAAAATTTATGATATTCAAAAGGATAACCTGTATGTTTTCCATTTTACCTTCTATTTAAAATGTTTGACTATAGTAAAAAGTTACTCCCTCTGTTTTATTTTAATGTGATCCTAGTGTGTTCTAACTTAAAAACTTAACGCAAACTTTTTATTATACTATAAATAACAAGCTTGTAGAAACACAAATTTATGGCATGTTTAAAACTTGAAGTTTCAAATAACTTTACAAATATTATGACAAGTTTAAAACAACAAAATTCAAAAGTTTTTATTTCTTTATTAAATTCCGTATCTAGTCAAATAGTACTATTACATATACATAAATAGTTGTGAAGCTTTAAATTACTGCTATAAGTTATTCACTATCGCCCGAAGGTACCCAGTAAAAATGGTTTAAAAATTAGGGAATAATAAAGTAAAAATGGTTTAAAAATTAGGGAATAATAAAATGCTATCACTATTCCGAGAAGATTTCAAACCAAAATGTTTGGTCCTTTGCAGCTCTACCTTGTCAATTATAAGTCAGACCTTCTTGGTAGTACGTAGCATTTCAATAGGCTAAAGGAAGCTAGGGGATTTGTTTCACTTTTATTATGTTCTTGGTCATTACTACGAGTCAACAATCTCAATATAAGTAATAATGTACATATTTATAATGTTACAATAGTGATTAAAAATAATACTCCAAGTACAATTTAATTTGAATAAGATGATGAAGAAAGAAAGAATATGGTAATGGAAGAAACAATAATAGCACATGAAAATGAATAAGATTCTTCTATCCTTAAAAGGGAAAACTCACAGTTTATAATCTTTTCAATGCATATAGTTTTTCTCCACCCTAACATCCCTTCATCTGTTGGCAACTTCGGCCGACTTCCTCAAAACCAACCTACTATAACAGCAATATTAATGTAGACAAACCCAGGATTTGAAGGTGGTGCCATTTCTGTATCACTAAACATGATCCTGGCCTGCCGGGCAAGTTGATTACTCCAAAATGGAATAATCAAATTAAAAGTTTGTGAAATATCATTCTTCATTAGCTTAAAGAATCTGCACTTTTTCTTTTCCTTTTCCAGCCTGCGTGCATAATGAGTTGGTGACTACCCATATTTTGTGAAAAGAGAGTTTTGTATTGAACTATCTAGACATGCCATATAGAACTATAAAGAGGTAGAAATCAACCTGTATTCTTTCTATGTTCTTATATTACTTGAATGTGATGTGATTATCAAGCAACTATATCAAACCGAATTCTGAACAAGAGCGAATTGCTCAACTAGTAAGATTTCAACCAAAATATATTACTGTTTTCAACATATATAAAATTATATATTTAGAAGTTTGCAAAGTTAACGGGTCCGGTGACCTCTCTTCGCCAAGCATAGATCCGCCTCTGACAGCAACCCAACAATTCCACTTCTCAATCGAACAAGCAAACAGAAAAGATTGAAAAGAAAGGAATAAGAAACATCTAAGAGGAATGAATAAGAGGAAAGTTGAGGATGAGGTAGATATGGACGAAATATAAAGAGACAAAGATTGAATTCTCTTACAAACTATATCTGATTCCTCTTAATTGGGAAGTCTCATGCAAAAAGGTAACTCGGGGCATCCTAAGGTTCAAGTCGTGATATGGCGGAGAATCAAAAGTGCGTTTAAGTGTTCCAACATTGATGGAAGGAATGAAATGATGTCAAACTCGTGACATCTAAGATAATCATCACCTCATAAATTAACTTTTGAAGTTGAGTTATGACTCAGTCTGCTTTCTTAACAAAGCCTGAGATCGAGCTTTGGTTGTAGTGGAAGTGGAGGGGCGTGAGGAACGTTGATGAAAAGATAGTTCAGCTAGTAAGGCATGCAGCTCAGTAACTGTAACAAAACGGACCCGAACAAAGGCATAATCTGGAACTCCCAAGTATTGACGGACACAGATGATAAAAGAGGAGATAGCTATAAGAATATGAGACTGGAGTTTTAGCTCAGACAAACCAGATTTGTATAGTGGAAAAAAAGCTTGAAAGCTGTAAAGTCAATAAATACACTGTTTACTATGTATAAATGATTTGTTATTTCTATTGATGGAACCAAGTCCAAGAGGTATGGTGGGTCAGCTGCTCCGCATATCGACAAAAGGAACACTAACAAAGGCAGTGTACTGTCATATGCAGCAGTATCACTCAAAATAGAGTTAGTATTACAAAGTTCAGTCTAAGCCTCTCCACTGAAGTGGGAATGAGAAGACCAAAAAAGGAGCAATTTATTGCATCAATTTAAACACTGATTTCCCAAAACCAGGAAACTTTCTTGGGAAACAAAATCTTGTATGTATTCCCTGTTACTCAAATCATCCTAATAAAAAGAGACCTTACAATTGTCAATTTGCGCAAACAAGTTTTTGGAAACTGATACTCAGACATAGTAACCAGTGAATGTAAATCCTCTTCCTACTATCTCACCAGCACAATACCATGCAAAGCACTCCAAGCCGAACAAAGCTGCAATGCCTGCATCTTCAACCTTCAATTCCTTTCTATTCCTCCACATGTGCTTCACAGAATCGACTTCCTTCCAAAATGACTCATAACGGCCAGGGATGCTGGAGGAAGTGAAAAATGTTCAAATGATCAAGAACAAAAGCAAGTAAGCAACTCATAATGGACAATAGACTACCCGTAGATATTGGTTACGTAAAGATGCATACCACTCCACTTGGCTTAATTAGAAGAAAAATGATCATAAAAAACACAGCCAGGGGAGGCACATGGGGGTTAAAATAAAGCACATCAATTAATAGTCTTTGGCCATATTTGGCAGCATTACATGCGGAATGATCGGTTCACATAACGGAGTAACATTTTTTATGTAGTAGTTCACATAATAACATTTTATCATAGAGCATAGAATTGCCTATAAATTTTGCTTCTATAGGTAATTGTCTATAATAATATTTAACAAGAGAATTTTATGATTATGTCTATAAATAATAGTTTACTTTGTGCTTTTCACACGAGATTATGACTATGGCTATATCATTTACTTGGTTTGACAGACACCAAAATCATTTTATGCACATATCAAATCAAAACAACTATAAGATGCAGTTCCATAGTACACAAAAATAGAATCTATCATGCATCAGTGAAAATAAAGCAATGTGGTGTACCTAATCCATCACTGAAGGAACCAAAACTACTCATACTGGTTTTCAAGTGCAAATTTCAACACAAGTCCAAGCAGATAGTGGCCTGCTCGTCACAGTAACACAATGACTAATCCTAAAAGTTTAGCAACAGATACCAAGTAATTAGGCTGAAGTATAACCTGGCAAGACGAGTGTAGAGCAACTGCTTGGACAATTCATTGCATTTTTCAACAGTAGGTGGCTCCACAATATACTGTTTGTTCTGCTCCAGCAACTGTTTGTAGTAGCCAGTACCATGCTTAGCAAGAAACTGTGAAGCTTGACATGCCTTAGATTGCAGTTGCTGAATCTTGGATGCCATCAATACCAAGAAAGTCCTGGACCCAACAATAAAGGAAATAAAATCAAACATCTAACCAGCTAACAGAGCAGACATACTCCCTCTCTAGCACACTGGAGGATACAATGGAAACTAGGAGGCAGGTAGAAAGTAGCTGGGAATGTATTTTTGGTTATAATGTAGAGAAGTAAATTAAAAAAAATGAAGGATTGAGAATCCATTGTGGGCCAAATGTTCTTCCTTTCTCCTACATTGTTGGTGCAAAGTGGAGATACCCAATTATATAGAAGTTGGTCAGATTTCTGGCGGGCTTGATGGACTTTCTTATACTGATTGTCTCGGAGTTGTACAAATGGATTCTTATAATTATCCTAAAATAAGGGACCAGACACCCCCCACCCCACCCCACCCCACCCCACCCCAAAGCCAGTTTTGCAACTTTTTTCAATTTAAAAGAATGCCACATAAAAACTATTACCATTTTGTTCCAGAGACTTACAAAAACAGGTAACAGTAAAGATCTAGCGTGAAAAAGGATCAAAATATAGCATGCCAGTTGCCACTTCCCTCATAAAAAAGAGCAAAAGGTTAGCCATTTAGCAATCTAATTCGGAATCGAATGAGCCTTTTGATCAAGTAGTTTTGAACATGAGTAAACCAAAATACCATGCTCTCATATGCGTAAACCTAGAATGACTTTACATAGATCAACTTTATTTCTGTAGTCTGTTTTAAATGATCTAAAACTAAGAACATAGTTGAGTCTCCAACTCCAAAATTTTCTTCAAATAATCAATCAACTGAGCCTCAAGCACATCTATATGAATATCTGTATCTATTTTACTCTATTTCGGGCCCAATTTTAAATTTCCTTGAATATTTTTTTCCCAGACAAATCAGACAAAAACCAGGGACACTGCTAAAAACTGGCAAGTCCAAGCATATAATCATTGGAATTCTAATAGAACTATGCCTCCGTCCCAAACAAGTTAGAGTCGGCTATGCGAATCCTTACTGACCATGTTCCACATTTAAATTTATCTGGCCAACATCACACAAAATAAAAATAAAAATGAAAAGCACTAGAAGTGATCCATATTTTCTACTAGCATGGGATGAGGCTAAAAGACCGAAAAAGCATAGATTTTATCGGTATTCTAATGTGCACAAGAAAAAAGATAGTTTTTTCCCGGTAGTTTAGTTGACAAACTACAAGTAATTTCTCTCAAACCCCTTCAAATAAAAGCTGATGTTTTCCTAGCTAGTTCCTATTCTATCTCACAGATCAGACTGAATATCATCAGTCATAGCTGAGTCAAACCAATAAACCAAAACCCTTATCAGCTCCCATAAACAGGGTTTGATCCACATTTTAAGCTATGGGTTCAGTCAAACCCAATACCTTCGGCCTACACCCTATACCATTATATGAGATCCCATCCAGTACCAAATCCTCCAATACTTCTCAATGGTACTTTAAATTCAAGCCATGTGTCCAATTAAAATTTAAAGGCTGGGATATAATCACTTTCTTCCTTTTATTTGATCTTTCTTCCTTCCGTTGTCTCAACTTCTCAGGTCCAAAAGCTCTCACCCACAGCTGCTGCTGCAGTGCCAATTTAGAGATAGCTACAAAGGGCATTCTCTCCTATGCACTTTTTTTTCCCACTGTTAAATCTAAGCCTTCATCGATGGAAGCACGCAATGGCTTCCTTGTGCGTTCTAAAATTACACTAATTCTATTTGTTCCATCTACCCAGAAAAACTAAACTCATTATTTGATTTATTCAACAAAAAAAACAAGATAAAGATTATTTTAAGTTTCTATGAAGAAAATAATATCGGTCTTTGCAGTGGAACTGGATACAAGGAAATGATTGTGCATAATCCAGAAAGTTTCTCTCCGGAAAAATAGTGACAAATTACTAATGCAAGTTGGAGGAAAGAAATTAAAAAAACTGAGCACAAAGTTCTTGCTGAGGAGATGTTTGTGTTCTGTATTTAGGAGACGGGTGAAGGACAAAATCAAGCCTTCAAAATTTTATAAGAACATGTCGCAGCAATCAAGATCTACGTCGAGATGCAAGGGAGCATTTGGTACTTGAGGTGATCCAGACCCTTTTAACTTAAAAGGAATAGGCTTTAGATATGAGCAACTTAACAATTAAAGATCTGCAGGCAGGCGAATAGTTGAGTTTTAAGACTCAATTGTGATAATTTTTACATATTTGCTACTTTGACATCTAGAATTTGTTACGATTAGTTTCTTTTGATTTCAAAATTCAAGAAACTAATGATAAAAAAAATTAATCTCTCAATCCGAAACCAAACCAAAAACTAATCCAAATTAAACTCGGTTCAGTTCGGTTTGGTTTTTCAGTTTTAATCCCAATAATGCACACCCCTAGTTATTAGCAGTTGTGGTCTCTATCCGAAATTTACAAACTAATAAAATTCAAATCCTGAATCTTCCTCTGACCACCAAAAACACAACATATAAACCTATAACAAATTCAATCTCTTATACACGTGCCTAAGTGTATATCTTGTGCTTTTATTATATAATCATACCAAACGAGATCTGACAGAAACTGATTAGCAAAACGTTGAAATTAACCAATTAATCAATCAACCAACTACACTTCAATCCTGAACTAATCGAATCCATTATATGAATCATCTATATCCATTTTGCTCTATTCGAGTCAATTTCATTTCATAACAAATATATTGTACTAATAAGGAAGAAAAAAACAGAAAAAAAAAGTCAAATAAAACTAATTAAGAGAAAAATAGAGTAAAAATAGAGCTCGACAATTACCTTTCGTCTGCGATTTGCAGTAATACTACAGGCGATGTTTTGCTTCAGTCGCCGATAGCAGTGACCCTAGCTTTCTGATAGAGGCTTCTGTTAAAATCGTGAATCGGAGATTTTCTACCTTCCCACTGAAAGTTGTGATTATTACAGTTTGCACCCCAAGAAAAAATTAGTAGTCCACTTGTGATGCACTTAGTTTAGGTTTATTTCTATTTCCCTCTTTTCTTTATATACTACTCCACTATTATACTCCCATTTTGTGTGTGTTGTGATTTCTCATTTGGTGTCCGGTATCTGGGGTCATGTTGAGTAGTCTAGGAGTTAAAACGCTCCCTAACAAAGGCGACTTTATATCATAACTTGAATTCGAAACCTTTAAATTAAGGATGAAAGAGTATTCGCCACTCCATCATAACCTGGTTAATTATTTCTTTGATACTTAGCAACCTTGACGATATACCTAATGTTTTCCTTTTTCTCTATTACTTAGTTTGTGAAGATTGCTTCAATCAAGTGGATTTTGGGATTGGTTGTTGAATAATTGAAATAAATTACAATGTATTTATTAATCATAGTTGATTAAATTATTTTCTAGGATAGATTTGTAATTTTATGCACTTTATATATATTATATGTCAAGTTATTCGAGTTAGACTAATTAGTGCTAGTTCAATGTGGCTTGCTCATGTTCTATTCGTGAAACTGAAAATCTTAATTGAGTTCACAGCCAACCTTTCAAGTTATGTTGACGCTCCTAGGGATACAGGGGCGGAGCTAGATCTTTTGACGAGTTCGGTCGAACCCAGTAACTTTGGTTCAAAATCTATATTTGTCCTTAAAAATTCATTGAATATGTACAAATTATTAATTTAGGACCCAGTAACTTAGAAGGAATAGAATTTTGAACCCATTAACTTCAAATCCTGGCTCCGCCTCTGTGGGGATATTATTGTGTTGTAAGTTTGAAAGCAAATACTTATAGATTATAAGTTATATCCTACCAACTATTATGCAAATATACATATTTACCCATAAGTTGAGCTAATAATACTGTTTATTGTATGCTCCATCTTTGAAGCTGTTAGTTTTACTATAACACTTATTCTTAGTTTTGACTGCTAACACTTATATATTAACAATTCTAATAGAAATTGGCAGTTTCCTAATAGGCTAATAGTAATATTTCTTAATAGCTGTTGTTTCGCCCTCATAGCCACTAATTTTGGTTTTAGCTTTTCGAAACGGCACACTTTTAGTGTTCAAGCCCTGACAATTGACCAAAATTCTACTACTGAGCGCGTCCTTTTTTTAATGGGTCTTACACGACATAAATTTGGATTAGTCAGGGCTAAAGCGTGTACCGAGCACCAAATAAAAACCACACCAACAAAGTTCAATAAGAAATGTATATTTTTAGTCGTTCCCAAAAACAATAGCCAACAAAATGTATATTTTTTTGTATATATTTATAGTACATACATATAATATACATATTTTATACACTTTTTGCCTAATGCAATTAATTTCGGCCAACCTGTCAATTTTGTATTTTGCCCAAATAAAAACAAGCTAGTCACAATTAGAACTGATGTTTATGAGCTCGAATCTTACCAACCCCTTATTGTTTATATCTAATTGAGTCTTCGTTACTCTCATAAACTACTTCCATGAAAGAAAAGAAAAAAAAAAAGCGGATAATTTTGGTTTGGCGATTTCAATTTCATAGCTGGCTGTTCGCAGTTTCGATTAGTTGCTTAACCTCTCCAATAACATTTGTAAATGTCATTGTTTTAGATATCCTGCGAACTGGAATTTAGTTTTCATTGTGTCAACCAATATATAGGAAGTGAACAAACTTATACTATATAGTATTACAACAACACCCAATATTATCCCACACCATGGGGTCTGGGGAAGGTAGTGTGTACGCAGACATTACTCCTACCTTGTGAGGATAGAGAGGCTGTTTCCAATAGACCCTCGACTCAGGAAGCATAAGCACCACATTAATGACAATATAAACAAGAAGGGACAGTACCAAAAAGCCATATAAAAGCCGAATAAAAACAACAAGACAGTAATGTAAAAGAAAACAATGGTTAGTCATAAAACCTACTACTCTCAGAAAGCAAGACTGCGTGCCAATACTACTGTTATGAACACTCTAAACTACCTACTCTACTACCCTAATCCTCGACCTCCATACCTTCCTATCAATGGATACCGATGTCAACTAGGAGGTTCTGTTGTATGTCCTGGGAACGAGGATCGAAGACAATGGCGACTTATACAGTGGTTCCTACCAGAAAAGATAGTTCAGCTTGTAGAGCATGTAGCTCAGAGGGATACAGATGATATGAGAGAGTACATCAAACATTAGTTAAATCAACATAAGCTCAGCTGTAAAGTCGTCAACAACATTTTTTTTCTATGTATAAAATGTTTGTTATTTCTACTGATGGAACCAAGAGGTATCCACACATCGACGAAAGGAACACTAACAAAGACAAGATACTGTCATAGGCAGCAGTATCATTCAACAGATAAAATTACTATTACAAAGTTCAATCTAAGCCTCTCCACTGTAGTGGGAACAAGATGAGCGAGAATTAGTAAATTATTGCATCAATTTAAACACTGATTTCACGGATCCAAAAACTTTTTTGGGAGACAAAATCTGGTATGAATTCACTGTCACTCAAATCATACTAATAAAAAGAGAGACCTCACAGTTGTCAATTTGAACAAACAAATTTTTGGAAACTGATATCTCAGACATAGTAACCAGTGAATGTAAATCCTCTTCCTACTATCTCACCAGCACAATACCACGCAAAGCACTCCAAGCCGAACAAAGCAGCAATGCCTGCATCTTCAACCTTCAATTCCTTTCTATTCCTCCATATGTGCTTGACAGAATCGACTTCCTTCCAAAATGACTCATAACGGCCAGGGATGCTGGAGGGAGTAAAAAAGGTTCAATAATCAAAGAACAAATGACGCTCATAATGGCAAGTAAGCTACTTAAAAATGTATCTAATGTAAAGATGCATACCACTCCACTTGGATCTCTTAGAATAAAAATGATCATTGAAATCTCAGACACGGGAGGCACGTGGAGGGTTAAATAAAGCAATATCAACTAAAGATGTCTTTGGCCACCATATTTGGTTGCATTACATGCGGAATGATAAGTTCACATAATAACATTTTATTATGGAGCATAGAATTGCCTATAATAATCTTTTCTTAATAGGGAATCGCCTATAATAATCTTAAAGAAGAGAATTTTACGATTATGTCTGTGAATAATAATCTATGTTGTGCTTTTTAACATGAGATTACGACTATGGCTATATTATTTACTTCGTTTGACACGCACCTAAAAACATTTAATGCCATTATCATGCACAAAACCTTTCACTTAAAAACCATATCAAATCAAAAAGAACTATAAGAAAAAAAAAAAAAAAAAAAAAAAAAAAAAAAATACTGTGCATCAGTGAAAAATTAAAATAGACCAATGTGGTGCATCAGTGAATCTACTATCCTAAATGCTTAGCAACAGATATCAAGTAATTAGGCTGAAGAGAGTATAACCTAGCAAGACGAGTGTAGAGCAACTGCTTGGACAATTCATTGCATTTTTCAACAGTAGGTGGATCCACAATATACTGTTTGTTCTGCTCCAGCAACTGTTTGTAGTAGCCAGTACCATGCTTAGCAAGAAACTGTGAAGCTTGACATGCCTTAGATTGCAGTTGCTGAATTTTGGATGCCATCAATACCAAGAAAGTCCTAAACACAGCAACAATGAAAATAAAATCAAACATTTAACCAGCTAACAGAGCAGGCATACTCCCACCCTAGCACACTGGAGGATGATGGAAACTTGGAGGCAGGCAGAAAGTAGCTGGGAAGGTCACACCCTTTTGTATTTATTAGTTATTAAGGACAGAAGTAGCTAAAAAATAAATGAAGGGTTGAGAATCCATTGTCGCGGGCCAAAAGTTCACCTTTTCTTTTACATTGTTGGTGCAAAGTGGAGATACCCAATTATATAGAAGTTGGTTAGATTTCTGGAGGCTTGATGGACTTTCTTATACAGATTGTCTCGGAGTTGTACCAATGGATTCTTATATTTACGTAAAAGGGGACCAGACATAAACCCCTCATTTTGTAATTCTTTCAATTTAAAAAACAACATCACATAAAATCTATTACCATTTTATTCCATGGACTTACAAAAATAGGACCAGTGAAAGATCTAGCCTGAAAAAGGTTCAAAATATTGCCTGCCATTTCCCTCAGAAAAACAGCAAAATGTTAGGGATTCAGCAATCTAATTCAGGATCAAATGAGGCTTTTGATCAAAAGGTCACGCTCTCACATGTGTAGACCTAGAATGACTCTGCCTAATAAGAACAAAGTTGAGACTCAACTCCAAAGTTTCAATCAAACAATCAACAGAGCCTCAATCCCATCTTTATGAATCATCTATATCTATCTTACTCTATTTTGGGCCTACCTCAAAATTTCCATGAATATTTTTTTTCCCAACCAAATGAAAACGAGCTAGTCCAAGAATTTCATCTATTTAATTGCACATAATCATTGGTATTCTAATGCACACAAGAAAAAACAACAATTTTTCGTGGTTTCATTGACAAACTACAAGTAATTTCTCTAAAACCCCACAAAATGAAAGCTGATATTTTTTGACGTAACGTCTGGGGCTAACCCTTTGGACCAACCGCAGCCTTTAAAACTCAAAGATAATGCGCCCGCCCTTCTACCCTTCATCACTTAAATACCAAGCCTAGTTCGCATGATGCGAAGCTCAAACCTGTGACCTGACTCACAAATCCCTCAATATTTTGCCACTTGAACTAAGCCCCAGGGGCTAACATGAGAGCTGATATTTATCACCCAAGTGTGTGGCCTAGTGGTCAATGAGGTGGGTTTAGAACCATGAGGCCTCAGGTTCAAATCCCAGTGGACTAGCGAAGGCAAAAAAAAGGTGATTACTTTCCATCGGTCTAAGCCTTGGTGACACAGTTACTTGCTGGAGGAAGGTAGCAGATATACCAATTACCATGGAATTATGTGCGA